GACTTTTGTGTGGCTTCATACATTAAAACCCTGACAACAGGCAATGGACCTTTTTCACCCACAATTGTTTTTTACCACACCTTTAGACGCTGTACTAAAAAGGTATTTACAGTATCTAATGGCGCATTTTCAGAGGCGAGAGCCAATAAGTATGAGGATTCTTTCCAACATTTAGAAAAAAATTCCCCCACCTTTTTACACTTCTGGTGTTCCCATCAAAAATGACTGGCGTACAAAAAATGGGAGAAAAAAAACATTCATTTTTGGAATTGTGAATGCACTTTTAAATAAGCATTACTAAAATTACCCACAAGTAATTTTTTTTTCTTTCTTTTTTCACTCAAAAAATTGCAAGAAAATTGAAAATTGCATCCCTTTGCTGCATGTTCCCGGAGGCGGGGTTTATCTGGGTTTGTGATGTCACGAACCCGGGAAGTAACTTGTTGTAGTCCCTACCAGCCGTATTTGTACGCATTAAACTGCCAGAATTTTAAAAGACAATATCTCTGTTTGCATTGAACTTTCAGCTTTGTAACTTTGCAGATATTGTTTATGCTCAAACAGCAACATTAGACACTAACTAACATTAAAAAAAGTGAAATCGCAATGAACCACCCCTTTAAGAAAAAGCCTTATGATAAAAGTGAGTCTTAAGAAGAGATTTAAAGGAGGATAATGTGCTTGCCTGTCTGAAATCCCCAGGCAGGGATTTCCACAGCTGAGGAGCACAGACAGCAAAAGCACATCACCTTTAGTGACAAGTCGAGATTTCAGAACCATTAGTATGGCCCTAGCAGAGGATCTCAAGCAGCGATCAGGCGGCGTTAACAAATCACAAATATAGACAGGAGCCTGACCCTTCAAGGCTTTAAAAACAAGCAGTAAGATCTTAAAATCAATTGAGGTAACCAGTGAAGGGCAGGAAGGATCAGTATTCACTTCTCTTAGTGCATGTTAAAAGCCTGGCAGCAGTGTTTTGAATGAGCTGAAGTCTTTGAATGTTTCGCCTGCTGATACCAGAATAAAGTGCTTTACAGTAGTCAAATCTGGAGGAGATAAAAGCATGAATGCCCTTTTCTAAATAAGCAAAACAAAGAAATGACTTAATCTTTGTTAGTTGCGTCAGTGTAAAGCAAGACTGCACCACTTTAGTCACCTGGGCCCTCATTTATCAACTGTGCATATGCACAGATGTCTGCGTAATGAGTGCGTAAGAACAGGTTCACGCAAAGTGTGAGATCTACAAATTTGTACAGGTACTTATACGTAGGAATGTGTGTAAATATGAGCACAACTCTGAGCATGCTTACGCAGAGAATCTTGTGGTAGAATGGGGATACTACAAAGCAGTGGTGAGCGGTGACTTTTTTAACCGGGTATGCTGAGTGCTAAGATTAAGCCCCCCTAAATTATGTTTTGCTTGAAGATCAAATACTTATTTCACTCACTGAAATGCAAATCAATTTCTAACCTTTATATAATGTGTTTGTTCTGGATTTTTTGGTTGGTATTCTGTCTCTATACGTTAAAATAAACCTACCATTAAAATTACAGACCCTTCGTTTCTTTGTAAGTGGGCAAACAAAATATTTTCCCCACTATACAATTGTGTATTATCTGCGTAGCAGTGGAAAGCAATGTCATGACTACGTATAATTTGACCCAAGGGTAACATGTAAATAGAAAAGGTAAAAATAGAAGGGTTAAAGGGTTACTTCACCCAAAAATGAAAATTCTGTCATTAATTATTCACCAAACTCGTAAGACCTTCGTTCATCTTCGGAACATAAATTAAGATATCTTTAATTAAATCCATGAGCTTTCTGACCCTGCATAACAGCAAGGAAACTGACACGTTTAAGGCCCATGCAGGACATTGTTAAAATAGTCCATGTGAGTGGTTCAACTATCATTTTGCGAAGCTACAAGAACACTTTTTGTGCACACGTATTGTGGTACTCTCGTGGCCACACGTCGAGGACTGACACGGAACAGAAGTAATTGTTGAATTCGTTATGAAGTCGTTATTTTTGTTTTCTTTGCGCACAAAAAGTATTCTTGTAGTTTCATAAAATTATGGTTGAACCACTGATGTCACATGGGCTGTTTTAATTTCAGTTTTCATTTCTGAAACTTTTCATTCAAACTTTTCATTTCAGTTTCTTTGCTGTCTATGCAGGGTCAGAAAGCTCTTGTATTTCTTAAAAAATACCTTCATTTGTGTTCTGAAGATGAACAAAGGTCTTATGGGTTCGGAACAACATGAGCGTGACTAATTAATGACAGAATTTTTTTTTAAGTGACTAAAAGTGTCTTAGATTCAAAAGGCATTTCAATATTTTCACACACTGTGCTCAGATTTGCAAAGATGAAGCCTGAGATTTCCATGTGAATGCAATCATTTCTCATCCAATTCTTAACCTTACTCTGTCAACAACTGTCTTATTTGTCTCACTTCTCTTAAGAAATTTAAGGAGGAGCATCTGAGAGAAAGTTGATATTTGCGAAAGAGCAACCTCTGAGCAAGCAGTGGTCATTTATCAGCCTGAAACTGACGTGTGGCTTGCTTTCTCTCTAGATAAGATAGATGATGAATTAGAGATGACAATGGTCTGCCATCGGCCGGAGGGTCTCGAACAGCTCGAGGCGCAGACAAACTTCACCAAGCAAGAGCTACAAGTCCTTTACAGAGGCTTCAAAAATGTACGTTGCCCAGTATTTCTTATCTCATCCTTCTCATCGCTCACACATCTTGCACATTTACTTTACACAAATGTCTTTTGACACATTTTGGAATCTGATAAGAAGCTTATAGTGTTTATGTAATATATCCTTATGCCTTAATATCTTTTCTTATGAATCATCGCATCTCATCTGCATATACTGTCCCCGTGGTTCTGTTTGCCATGTCTCATCTGTCTTTCAAACTCTGTAAACTCTTATTGTTCCTCTTTGCATTATCCAGCATGTCACTAATCACTGTGTGCTAGCCTCAAGCAACAGTCAGCCAGTCATATTTCACAATACCAGCATTCACACGCTCTATTAGACACACATAAACAGTCAGGCTCAGCAACCCACACAGCGGCTCATATTTGTTGGGTTAAAAAAGCTTTACCAAAACCACTGTGTATTAATATGGCAGCGTTTAAGCCCAACATACATACACACATATACTGTATATGCATATATATATTTTTTATACCATTCTCAGGAGTATGTGTTACATAACTGCGGGTGATTTGTGGAATAATTGATAAAAATTTATTGGGGAAAAAAAATCACATTTATTATTATAATATTACAAATATATTTTAATACAATTATTATATTATTTATATCATATTATATTTATTAATTATTTAACTAGTTTGATTACTACAAGGGTCCTCAAGCCAATAATATGTTTATAATATAATGTTAATAATATGTTTTTTCCCTCAGGAGTGTCCAAGTGGAGTAGTGAATGAGGAGACATTTAAACATATTTATGCACAGTTTTTTCCACATGGAGGTACTAAAAAAAGAGAAATCCTTAAATATTACATGCTTCTTATGATCAATTTTAGATAATCAAAGTGTCTAATGTTTTCATCTGTTTTCACTGCTGTACCAGATCCCAGCACATATGCCCATTATCTCTTCAATGCGTTTGACACCAGAAATAATGGATCCATAAAGTTTGAGGTATGAAGAAAATGTGGACTCCTGGCACAGCATGAAAATATATATTTTAGTGACATTACATGCAGGATGTCTTTCCTGTCTTTCTCTCAGGACTTTGTGATGGGACTATCTACTCTACTGCGGGGGACGGTCAGAGACAAACTGGAATGGACATTTCATCTCTATGACATTAACAAAGATGGATTTATCAATAAGGAGGTATATCATATGTAAATAGGCAGTCATTATTAACTTCAACTTAATTCAATAACCCACTCAGTCTTCATGTACCTCACAGGAAATGACAGAGATAGTGAGAGCCATCTATGACATGATGGGGAAGTACACGTATCCGGCTTTAAAGGGGGATGTACCAAAGCAGCATGTGGATGCCTTCTTTGAGGTCAGAAATAGGAAATTATTCATTTAGGTGACATTTTGCAACAAAACGAAAAAAATATATATATATTATATTCAATCGATGTAATATAATAATTTAATTGATGAGAATCACCATTATATATATATATATATATATATATATATATATATATATATATATATATTCAATGGTGATTCTCATCAAATTATGTGGCTCAAAATAACTTCATTTTCTTGTTGATTTATCCATTTCTTTTGATTTTGGGATAAAACATGTATGAATAGTTACTTATCCATAACAATTCCCCATACATGATTTTTACAGCAAAAAAATGTCAGAGCAATCCAAATCAATTTTCTCTCCCCTACAGAAAATGGACAAAAACAAAGATGGAGTTGTAACATTGGAGGAGTTTGTGCTTGCCTGTCAGGAGGTATGTTTATATCGTTGTATATTTTATTTACATCTGCCTTAGACTTTTGGTGAATTTGCCATGCTCCTTTCTCCAAACCCCACCCCCTAAAGACATGTCAGAAATCTTAAACCTGCAAAGTAATAATGGCTCAAAACCAGTTACTCTCAGAGCCTTTTTACAGTTTACAGAGCCTGATTGTTTCAGTGACATCTGTCAGGTAGAAGTATAATTTTACACGTGATATTTACATTCCAAATGTAATTCTTTTTTATATATATATATATATATATTCAATGGTGATTCTCATCAAATTATGTGGCTCAAAATAACTTCATTTTCTTGTTGATTTATCCATTTCTTTTGATTTTGGGATAAAACATGTATGAATAGTTACTTATCCATAACAATTCCCCATACATGATTTTTACAGCAAAAAAATGTCAGAGCAATCCAAATCAATTTTCTCTCCCCTACAGAAAATGGACAAAAACAAAGATGGAGTTGTAACATTGGAGGAGTTTGTGCTTGCCTGTCAGGAGGTATGTTTATATCGTTGTATATTTTATTTACATCTGCCTTAGACTTTTGGTGAATTTGCCATGCTCCTTTCTCCAAACCCCACCCCCTAAAGACATGTCAGAAATCTTAAACCTGCAAAGTAATAATGGCTCAAAACCAGTTACTCTCAGAGCCTTTTTACAGTTTACAGAGCCTGATTGTTTCAGTGACATCTGTCAGGTAGAAGTATAATTTTACACGTGATATTTACATTCCAAATGTAATTCTTTTTTTAATGTGGAAAAAGCCACATACTGGTGTATTTAAAGGGGTCATATGATGCGATTTCAAGTTTTCCTTTCTCTTTGGAGTGTTACAAGCTGTTCGTGAATAGATAAGATCCCTAAAGTTGCAAAGACTAAAGTCTCAAACACAAAGAGATATTCTTTATAAAAGTTAAGACTCGTCCACGCCCTCCTAAAACGCCTCGTTTAAACACGCCCCCACATGTCTATGTCACTGTGTGGGAAGATTTGCATAACGCCGCCCAAATGTATATGCAAAGAAAGAGTAACTTTATTGTTGCTGCCACCGCCGCCGCCATGTTGTGAAGACGCTGTGTGTTTCGTTGCGAAAACTAAAATACGTTGTTTGGCCTTCCAAAAGAGGACACGACTAGAAATCAGTGGTATTTACAGTTGTATTTACAACACTGTTCCAGAACAGTTCAACCCAAATATTCATTTTATGGAGGACTGTTTCCTGGGAGAGTAGACTACAATACCGGTGTTCCGGTGAATTCCGTTCCCCTGTTTCCCCTTCGGCAAATGCTGACCACAGTCTACACTCTTAAGAAAAATGGTTCTAAACAGTACCAAAAAAGGGTTCTTCGGCTTGTAACAATAGCAGAACCCTTTTTAGTGCTAAATATAACCTTTTTTATAGGGTTCCATATAGAACCATGCTTTGAAAATGCTATACACGACCTTATTTGTGTTATAAATAACATTTGTAATGATAGTTTTTCATGAATATTAGTATGTTATTATAATTAATATTAGTATTTTTTGTATATATATTATTTATTCATATTGTTTTTTACCCCTCTGTCTGCCAGGTTTTATAATATCTTGAAGTGTCTATTAGGGTTTTACATCATGTGAGCACTTCACAATGTTAAAAGGAAAACGTAATATAAAGTCAAGGGATAGCTGGGTATGTTTACGCATAAACCCTAGTAATAAAAAAAAATTCTAACAAAATGGACCAAAAATCCAATATCTTTGTTACTTACTTAGTGAAGAAAAGGAGAGGATCTTTACCTGAATAGAGCTGGTCACAATGTTCTCTTAACCTAAAAATAGAAAAGACAGAGGAAACCAATTAGCATTTGAAAGTGATAATTTATAGACATTTTAAGAAAGAAATTATTTACCTGTTGAGAGTGTGTTGACAGTCTGTGTAGTTGGATGGCTGAGCTCCAAAAAATCAGTAATGAGGCATCTTAGAGTGTAGCCTCGGTTAGGGTTTTACATTAAAACTACAACAACAAAAACAACAACAGCAGCATGTTGTGTGAATTGTGTTTTTATTGACATGCAAAATGATCAGTGCTCGTAACAACAGTTATTAGCTGAATACATTAATGAATGACAATTGACATTGAACATGCATAAATACATAAAGAAGTAAAACACTAAATAAGAACAAAAAATAGATGTGATGAAGACCAAGTTTCAGTGAAACAATCACAATCCAATCATTTTGGTGTGATTAAGTGCCGATTTCTCTCTGCAGATGATGAGGTTGTAGGATGTGATACATCTGAAATACACAGTTGAGCCCTTCACAATCTTAAAAGAAAAAAGTGATATAAAGCCATGGGATAGTTTTAATATTTATTGTGACTGGGTATGTTTATACATAAACCCAAGTAATAATTAAAAAAAATCTTACAATATGAAGCCAGTTACATTTTTAAAGTTAAATTTGTATTTAAATTTTAAGAATGAAATCATTTACCTGTTGAGAGTGTGTTGACAGTCTGTAGTTGGATCACTGAACTCCAGAAAATCAGTAATGATGAGCTTTGTCAGTTACAGATTTGAAAAACAAAAGGGCGGGAATAAAGAACCCTAAACTCTAACACAAAGAACCATTTCAGCATGAAAGGGTTCTTCAGAATGCTATGGTTCTAAATAAAACCATTACTGCATGTAAAGAACCTTTAAAGAACCGTCTTTTTTGTAGAGTGTATGATGCTGACAAATAATGCTGACTCACAGACTGTAAGTACGTTTTCATATTTAAAGGATTTTTTGAACCTTAAACGGCATAAACACATTTCATTACACCAAATAATGTTCTTTTTAGCAACATCATATGACCCCTTTGATAAAATTTTAAAAAGTCAAGATCAAGTTTGACCAAAAAAACTCTACTGCCTCTGTGTGGTCAAACTGAAAATTACATTTAAAAGTTTCTTTTTTTTCACCAGGATGAAAACATGATGAGATCCATGCAGCTCTTTGAAAATGTGATGTAGAGAAGCTCCACCAGAAGAAGAAAAGAACAAAACAGAGAGTGGGAAACAGAACGCAAAAGGGATTTTACATTTAAATATATATTTGCTATATTTCACTGAACTGAGTTCTGGGGGAATATGATGGCATGAGAGGAATGAGAGTCTGTGGGCTTTGTTTTTCTCTCTCTATTCAAACCTTGTAACATATTCAGTGTTGTTTCTCGCTGGTGTTTTGGGAAATTGCCAGCCCAGAATCCACTTTGATCCAGCCACGGAAGACTACATATGTTTGAAATGCACTGTGCATTTCCTGACTAGCAGGTGGTGATGATCAACATCCTTCTTCCCTACGAAAAAAAGAAAACCACTCTCAAACGTTTTTCATTTGCTTGACCCTAGAGCTCAGGACTCTACATTTGGTGTACTGGAACTGCATCCAGGAGGAACTAGAGCCTCCTTTGCTTGCTTTCTTTGCCAGAAGCGCTTGCATGAGAAAAACCAGCAGATGTGTTTCCTATGAGTTGCTTGAAAATAATGCTGGCCTTCAAAATATCTAATTTTATGATTTATTTATCTATGACATGGGGTTTAGAGGATACTTAATTTGATGTTGATTCGGTCTTGTGTTGTCAGTGTTGTTTGTTAGTAATTGCTGTTTCCAGTCTGCCCACTTAATGTATGTCTATCTGTCTCATTCGTTACTTACCAAGCCATTTTTGCCCACCAGATCATAGTGAATAAGGTGGGACAGAAGTTAAGTGTGTGTGTCTAAGTATGGAAGTAAGTGAGGAGTATTAAAGAAACTACAAAAACCCAGATACCTCTGCATAGTTTCAAGATGAACAAGACAATATTTGTAAGAGGGAAAAAAATCCAGATAAATCACATGAAATAAAGAAAAATAATAATTATTTATGGGTCAGGGTCAGTCGTAGGATATATAAGCTATGTATATACTTGCAAGTATGGTGCCACATGAAGAAATGTTCAATGAGGCAGATACAAACTGTGAAAATGAAGTATTCTGTGCAATTCAAATCTCAGTTAAAACATATTAAAAACATTTGTGGAAGAGCATTCAGCTGTGTTTTCTTATTTTACTGTTTATACGCCAAAGACTTAGCTTCATTCTGTTGGGTTATTTATTATTATTATTATTATTATTATTATCTAAAAACTGGATAATAACATCTCAAATTTATTATGCTTAATGTTAATTATTTATGTAATCGTTTTATTGAAATATTTCACTGCTTGCTTTGCTATATAAACAACAGAATAGATCAGTGGTTCTCAACTAGTAGATTATGGAAGAAAAAAAAACAGCAAAGAATAACCTGACTCACTAGTAATAATTTATAGTAAGTGAAGCAACATAAATCAGCTCTTTATTTATTTATTTTAAAATGCTTCCTAATTAAACTACAGTATTTTGTATTCACCTGTTACTTGTTAATACACACATCAAATTATCACATCATAATAAATATATTATGTATATTGTATATGTATTATTTACATTATAATATTGCATATATTATATGTATGTCATACATACATATACACACAATGGTGGCCAAAATTATTAGAACACTAGTATTTTCACCAGCTAAAAATATGGTTTTAAGTCCATTATTTCCATCTTTTGCTGTAGTTTGTCAGTAGAAAATACCCGTTTACATTTCCAAACATTAATTTTGACATTAATTGTAATAATCCAGTGAGATTTTTGTCTGACAACAGCCAGTGCTCCACACAGAGATCTGATCTGATCATCATCCAGTCTGTCTGGAATGACATGAAGAAACAGAACAAACTGAGACAAACTAAATCCAGAAGAACTGTGGCAACGTCTCCGAGAAAGCTACAGTACTGTTAAAAGTTGTAGGCACTTGTGTAATAATGCTGTAAAATGAGGATGCTGTCAAATATAATGTCATAAATAGATTTTCTTTATCAATTAACTTCTATTAACTAAATTAAATCAACATTTGGAGTGACCATCCTTTGCGTTTAATGCAGCTTTTGCCCTCGGTGCACTTGTGCATAGTTTTTCAGGTAGCTTTGCAGGTAGGTTTCTTGAAGCATCTCGGAGACGTTGCCACAGTTCTTCTGGATTTAGTCTGTCTCAGTTTGTCCTGTTTCTTCATGTTATTCCAGACAGACTGGATGATGATCAGATCAGATCTCTGTTGTCAGACTCCTTGTGCAAACAAAAATCTCACTGCATTATTATAATTAATGGCAAAATGAATGTTTGGAAATGTAAACTGATATTTCCTACTGGCACATTACAACAAAAGATAGAAATAACTGACTTTAAACCTTTTTTTTTTAGCTGGTGAAAATAGTGTTCTAATAATTTTGACCACCACTGTGCAAAAGTGTAGGATTTACTTTCACTCAGGTATTGCCAGTACATTTCACAACTAACTACAAGGAAACTGAAATTAGCATATTAAACGTAGAAAATAGAATTAGACGTGAAATTTGGAAGAAGAGGCTAAAATATGTTCTTGTGAAATGTACTCCAATAATCTTTTGTTTTACTTCGAAAAATCATTTTAACAGTGCTTTTCTTTTTCCAATGCACACAATTCGCGAGTGTAATACATTTCATTTAAATCTTTCCAAGACACGCTTATCAAGATAAATGGCATGCTCTACAGTAGGCTACATATCAATCAGGTGTCCTGACATTTTATCCTACCCATCAGATTGTCCTACCAGGGTTTACTGCGCACGCGCACATCAATATTGCGTCCTTTTTCTCATGCTGAACAACAATATTTAATGTATCTGCATTACTGTAAGGGTAGGTTTAGGGTTGGGGTAGGTGTAAACTTTAATAAAACACAATCTAATAGGTATAAAAAAGTATGTATTGTTGGTTTCCTGTAGCTGTATCCCTTCTATCTACAACGCGAATATAACACATAATTACTATATCTGCATTACTGTAAGGGTAGGTGTAGGTTTGTGGTAGGTGTAGACGTTAATAAACCATAATTTTACAGGTAGCATTTTTCGTTGTCGAATTGTACTACCCACTGTTTTAATGGGACGTAGAACAATCTGACAGGTTGTTGCCAACTAATTTTCAGGGGAAGTTGCTAAAAGACGTTGTGATGTCATTGCGCGATTACGTCATTACGTAATCACGACGCAAAATTGTGTCACTCCATCAAATCTCAGCAAAAATATATTGTATATGTTCATTTAGATTTGTTCGTAAAATAATACAAATGCATAATATAATGTTAAAATATAAATAACTATTTTTATATACAACATTGAACACTTTTGAACGATTTAATTTTTTTAACGATTACAAGTTTTTTTATTAGCTAGTAAACTAGTAAAACTACACATTCTGAACAATTCTAGCTTTAAGCAGTGTATTAGTAGTCAGTATGCTACACTCTAAGAAAATAAACCACAGGTTTTTACCTGCATTTTAAATTACGCATTGTATTTTGTGTTTTCGGGTTACAGGGTTACAACGGATAATGGATAATTGATAATGGATAACGGATAATGTCCTGGAAAATTATTAGTACCTTTGCCATTTTTCTAGATATTTTTCTTACAGTGTACTAACTGATCAACAATCACATGTACAAGCTACTAACGAGGTGTATCATAAATGAACAATTATTAAATTATTATTGTTATTATCAAATTGAACAACTGCAAATAGCAATAATTTGATTCATGTGATGTATGTACTTCTAGGCATCTTTGGTTTCCTCTTTTTGTGAAATTTAGATGGAAAATGTGTGCCTTTTTAAATGTTTGAGTCACTTGTCAAAAGTTGCTAAAAGTTGCCAAAATAAAATTTAAAAATAGCTAAATTTGATGCTAGGTGCCTTTGGAAGAAAATGTTGCTAGGGTAGTCTGAAAAGTTGCTAAATTTAGCAACAAAATTGCTAAGTTGGCAACACTGAGCACAAATCGACAGAACAACACCGCTCTACGAGATATTCGGTTTCCGAGATTTTCGGTTTCAGTGGGCGGGGCATATATGAATATTCATGAGTTTCCCGGACATGCGCGTGGAACCAGGTGGAACTGAGCATTTCAGTTCACGCTCCTTGTATCTCAGCAGGTTTAATGGTATATACAGTATATATATATTTTTTAAAGTAAATATATTTACAGTGTTGCACAAACTACATGTGTTTATCATTTCATAACAGTTTATAATGTTTTTATTAGTTTACAGTGCACGTTGTGTGCAGTCGTCCCTGACTGAATGATTGCAGGCATTCTTTGTGTAATGTTAGGATAAAGCACAGCAAACTTCAGCTAGCTGTAGCCTATACATTGATTTCAGTTCTTTGTGCTCTTCATTTCTAGCTTGCGATGCTTTAT